TAAACATAATCCTGGTAAGCCATGATGACATAGCTCACAAGGATACATGGGGTACTGGGTTTGATCTCCAGCACCGCGGACAAAAATAAACAAATAAAATAAAGGTATTTGAAAAAAATACAAACAATAATAAATACGGTAGAGGATATGGAGAAGAGGAACACTTTTACATTGTTGGTGGGATTATAAATTAGTACAACCACTGTGGAAGTCAGTATGGAGGCTCCTCAAAAGATTAGGAATGGAAACGCCATATGACCCAGCTAGACCACTCCTCAGTATAATCATAAAAAATTAAAGTCGGGCTTGGGTTGTGGCTCAGTGCAGAGTGTTTCCTTGCACATGTGAGGCACCTGGGTTTGATCTTCAGCACCACATAAAAATAAACAAAATAAAGACATTGTGTCCAAGTATAACTAAAAAGTATTTTTAAAAAAAGAATTAGGGCTGGGGTTGTGGCTCAGCAGTAGAGCACTCGCCTTGCACGTGCGAGACCCTGGGTTTGATCCTCAGCACCACATAAAAATAAATTAATAAAATAAAGGTATTGTGTTCAACTACAACTAAAAAATTAAAAAAAAAAAAAAGAATTGACGTCAACATACTATACTGATACCTGCATACCCAGGTTTATGGCAGCACAATTCACAATAGTCAAACATGGAACCAGCCTAAGTGTCCACCAGTGGATGAATGGGTTAAGGAAAATGTGGAATATATGCACAATGGAGTTTTATTCAGTCATGAAGAAGAATAAAATGATATTATTTGCTGGAAAAAGGATGAAACTTTAGCGAATTGTGTCAAGCAAACTAAGCCAAACTCAGAAAGTCAAGGGTCATAGGTTTTCACTCATATCTGGAAACTAGAGAGGAAAAGGGGGGGAAAAAATCAGTAGGAGGTGAAGAGGTGATCCCACGAAAATAAGAGGGAGACCCAAAGGATGGAGGAAGGGGACCAGTAAGAGGAAAAAGGAGAGGAAAAGGGAAAATACTGGGAATCGATTTTGACCCAATTATATCTTTATATTGCACACGTGTGTGAATATATAACAACAACCTCCACAATGCATGATTATAATGCACCAATAAAAAGATATGGGGGAAACCTCATCAGCTGATGCCAAATGCCATGTTCTTGGGCTTCCCAGCCTCTAGAATCAAGATCCAAATAAAGAGCGTGGGGGGCTGGGGATGTGGCTCAAGCGGTAGCATGCTCACCTGGCATGCGTGCAGCCCGGGTTCGATCCTCAGCACCACATACAAACAAAGATGTGCCGAAAACTAAAAAAAAATAAATATTAAAAAATTCTCTCTCTCTCTCTCTTTCTCTCTCCCTCTCTCTTTTTAAAAAATAAAGAGCGTGGGGTGGTAGCTCAAGGGTGGAGCACTCACCTGGCACATGTTACGCACTGGGTTCCAGCCTCAGCACCATGTAAAAATAAAATAAATGATTTGTGTCCACCTACACCTAAAATATATACTTTTAAAAAAGTATTTCCAAATAAAGTACTCTTCATAAACACAAAAATAAAATTAAAATGGATACAATCTTCTGGGGGAAAAAAAGAGCCACCTTTGGGTCTGCTTTGTTTGGGTCTAGTATAACAATGGTTCTCAACTGGGTTAATTTTTTCCCCTAAGGGGACATTCAGTAATGTCGAGAGCCATTTTTAGTTGCCACAGCTTGAGAGAGAGTTGGTGAAAGGGCTTCTGGAACCTAGTGGTGGAAGCCAGGGATGGTGCTCAACACGCAACCCTGCAGGGCACAGCCTCCCACTTGAATTATCAGGCCCCAGATGTCAATGGTTGAGAAACTGCATTACACTCCTCCTTGGCCCCATTCCCTCTGTAGCGGGGAGCAAGTCAGACTCTAAGAACTGAAAGCCCCCCAAAAAATCTCCTTCTGGTGAGTTCCTGGTTTCCCCAATGAGGCAGTTTCATTAGGCACCTCTCAGCCCAGCTCCAGGGTCAGGGAAAAGCTGTTCGTGGGGCTGGAATAGATCCAGCCCTGCACCCTTCTCAGAAGTAAGAGGTGATGCCAAGGGAAATTGAAGGTGTGTAATTCCATAACCAAGCCTTCACGCCTCTCCCAGAACCTGCCCTAACCGGCCTGTCCTGGACTTGAACAATAGCATTGCCCACCCAGCATCTCAACGTGTGCCTGGGACCAGGGTGTCAAATTCCCCAGGCCCTCCTAGCACTTCCTCCCCCACCCCATAGGAACAGCAGATTTTGTGCACACCCAGAGGCCCAGGGAGCCACACCTCCACTAGGACTCCCAGACCCTTGGCCTCTTTCTCCCACCCCACCCCAGCTCTGCTTTTGACAATCTGCCCTTCTGACACGAACAGAAGTTGGGTAACGAGGACCAGTTTCTAAGACGGGAGCCAAGAATAGACATGGCTGAGGGGAGCTGAGAAGGGCAGGAAGACAGTATATGAACTTGGAGGAGAGAAGGGGGAGGCCAGCCATTCAAGTTTGAGGCCTTCCTCCCCGTAGCTTCCAGCTGCCTGTCCCTCTAACTGTCCTTCAACTCCATCCTGGCTTCAGTCACCCTGGCTGCAGTCTGAGTCACGGAAGCATGAGAGAGACACCACAGGAGAGGTGGGAGAGGGACTTACTCATTGAGAAAGAGATGAGGTTAGAAAGAAAGAAGGGAAGACAGGGACCCAGAGGCACACAGGGAGAGGGAATAGAGACAGAGACACTTAGACAAAAAGACACGGTGATAGAGATCTTAGAGACAACGGCAAAGTGAGACATACACAATCTCAGAGATAAAACCTAAGAGATGGAGAACTGGGGGGGGAAAAAAGACAGCCATAAAAAATAGACCCCACCCCAGACCTGAGAAAACTCCAGAGAAGGTAAGGTGTTTGCCCAGTATCTCATGACCAGTCAGTGCCAGGGTTGGACTTGAACCCAGAGAAACAGAACCAAGCACCCAAAACACCAGAGGGACTCAGACCCATCATTTTGCCAAAGCCCCGCAACCTCACCCCACCCCTCCTGGCCCTAGAAGGGAACCTTTGCTCCATTCCAGGGCAAACAACCACCACAGGCCACAATGAGGGAAGCTGAGGTCAGCCTGAGGCCAGAGGCCCCGGCAGGAGGAGGAGGGTTCCCAAGGTGCAGCCCCCACCCACTGGCCGGGAGCCCAGGGGCCACGTGAAGGGTAGAGTGAGAAGGTGGGAAGGTGGAAAGATGGGAAGGTCCACCTCACCCGGAGGACCAGGGAAGGGGGTAGAGCGAAGGAGGGGTGTGGACAGAGGCAACTTAAGAGCAGCTTCTCCAAGCACACTCAGAGCTCGAGAACACACTTCAGCTGTCCCACAACAGGTAAAGGGCCCTGAGTAGGGGACACTGGGAGCCTCTAGGGAGTCCACGGGTGTGTGTGTGCACGTGTTCCTGTGCTTGTTGCTCCCTCTTCTGAGTGCCCCCTCCCTCCCTCCTGTTTCTATCCTGTGGCCTCCACCTGTGTCAGCCGGTGAGTGCACAACTCTGTCTTTTCACCTCAGTCTCTCTGTGCCTCTCCAGTTCTGCCTCTTTCTCTAGTCTGCGTCAGCCCCTGTCTGTGATGTTCTCTCTGCCTGACTCTGTGTCTTGATTTGTGTCTCTGTGTGTCTCTATCATTAGCACTGTCTCCTGTGAGAGAATCTTGACAGATAGATGATTGATAAATAGATAGATGATAGATAGACATCTAAGGATATAAAGATATTACTCTGTGTTTTTCTGTGTCCCTCACTACCTGTGTGTATCTCTCGGTATCTCTCTCGGTCTCTGTCTCTATATCTCTTGTCTCTGTCTCTGTCTCTCTTGCCATCTGTTGTCTATTGTCTGTCGTCTGTCTATAGATTTTGTGTCTCCATGTCCATCTTCATCCCCTTTCTTTCTCCTTCGTCTTCATCCCTCCATCTCTCCCTAGCTCTCTTTCTTCTTCCTGTCTTTTCTCTACCTGCCCCCATTTCCAGGACCTGGGGGAGGAAAATTCCAGAAGGAGATGAAGAGTGAAGGGACCCTACTCTCTCCCTAGCTCTGCCCTCCGGACATCCGTGGCTGCCTTCACCATGGACAGTATGAGCACAGCCATCCTGCTCCTGCTCCTGGCTCTCATCTGCCTCTTCCTGACCCACAGCTCAAGAGGCAAAGGGAGGGCTGGGGATGTGGCTCAAGCGGTAGCGTGCTGGTCTGGCATGCGTGCGGCCCGGGTTCGATCCTCCGTACCACATACAAACAAAGATGTTGTGTCCGCCGAGAACAAAAAAATAAATATTAAAATTCTCTCTCTCTCTTTAAAAAAAAAAAAAGAGGCAAAGGGAAACTGCCCCCAGGACCCAGACCCCTCCCGCTCCTGGGAAACCTGCTGCAGCTTCGCTCCCAAGACTTGCTGACCTCCCTCACCAAGGTGCAGAGGCCTGCCATGGGCGGAGGGGGTTCCATGGCCCTAGAGCCTCCCATAACCTCTGCTTTCTGCCCCAGCTGAGCAAGAAGTATGGCTCCGTATACACAGTGTACCTGGGGCCCAGGCGGGTGGTAGTCCTCAGCGGGTACGAAGCTGTGAAGGAAGCCCTTGTGGATCAAGGGGAGGAGTTCAGCGGCCGAGGCAAATACCCTGTTTTTTTCAACTTCACTAAGGGCAATGGTAAGCCTGCTTCCCATGTCCTCCTCTCCTCCCACCTCTTCCACATTTAGGGAAGAAATAAGAGTGCACGACTCTGATCCTAATCTTGGTGCCACTCAGGGTCACAGATCTCACTGATGACACCAAGTAGGATGGAGCCAGACAGTCCTTCTTTAGGGTGAAGTTTGTCCCACCTTCCCCACCTCCAAATCCCTCCACCATCTTGAATTATATCTCCATACCAGTGCCCATGTTCATCTAACCCAACCCCATTCTCATCCAAATCCCTACCTCTATTCAAACCACATCACCTAGTTTCCAACTCAGTCAAGCAGCCAAGTCATCTGGGCCCAGTCCCCAGGATCCAATTTATCCCAGTCCCAATCCCCATTAACCCCATCCCCAGTCTCCATTCTTAACCTTCATCCCTCTACCTTCACCAAAACCAACCCCGTCACAGATCTACCTGACCCCAAGCTCTAACTCATGACTAATCTACTGGTCCTTCTCATTTTCCCCAACTCCATCTCCATCACCAGCCTCAAACCTAATTTATCATCAGTCTCATAATCTCCCCTCATATACCATTGTCACCTTCATTCCAACCCATGCCCAGCTCTGTCCCCACCCAACCAGCAACCTACACCATTTTCTCCAAACCTCTCCTGTGACAATATTCTGCCCTCCTTAGGCCTTGAAATCACCTATGTTTATGGTTTTCAATCTCCTTTTTAAACAAAATTCTCTATGTGCTGGGCATGGTGATACAACCTATAATCCTAGTGACTAGGGAGGCTGAGACAGGAAGATCGAAAGTTCAAAGCCAGCCTCAGCAATTTAGTGAGGCCCCAAGCAACTTTGCAAGATCGTGTCTTAAAATAAAAAACAAAAAGGGTTGGGGATGTTGCTCGGTGGTTAAGCACCCCCAGATTCAATCCCCAGAACCAAAAACAGTAAGGAAAAAAAAAATTTTTTTTTTTTAAGGAAACTAGCCAGGCACAGTGGTGCATACCTGTAATCCCAGCAGTTTAGCAGGAGAATCATGAGTTCAAAGCCAGCCTCAGCAATTTAGAGAGGCCCTAAACAACTCAGTGAGACCCTGTCTCTAAATAAAATATAAAATAGGGCTGGGGATGTGGCTCAGTGGTAGAGTGCCCCTGAGTTCAATCCCCAAGTTACCACCCCCAAAAAAGGAAACTATGTGACAAGGCACTATAATTGAGGGGGGAAGCTTCTCCAATTGAGAAGGGGTCCTGGAGGCTTGCATCCTCTACTACACATCCCCTAAAGAATGCCTAAAGCTCCCCCTGCACAGGATGAATCCCAGATGACCCAAACTTGGAATCAGAGAGCCCTGATAAAGTTCAACTACCATGTATTAAATACACTTTCTACTCTTCATTCCCCTTCCCTGGGCTTGATTTTTTTTTTAAACCAGGGATTGAACCCAGGTTAACCACTGAACCACAACCCCAGCCCTTTTTATTTTTTCTTTTGACACAAGTTCTCACTAAGTTGCTTAGAGCCTCCTTAAGTTGCAGAGGCTGGCTTTAAACCTGCAGTTCTCCTGCCTTAGCCTCCTGAGCCACTGGGATTCCAGGTGCACACCACTGCACCCAGCCTGGGCTTGATCTTATAAATTCACCTGTCAAGGTACACCAGATGCAAGGAGGTGGCAGACAGGGCACTTGAGAAAGTCATCTTACTGCTTCTGTACAGAAAACTTCTGAATGCATACACCATTTGTTACTAAAAAATAGCCAACAAGCAATCAGACAATACACAGCACAGAACAGGAAAGCAGGGTTCTGCTACTTACTAGGTGAGTTCAAGCCTTGGACAAATGGCCTCCCTTCTCTGACCCTCAGTCGGCTTCAAAGAAAAGATTGTTACAAAGAATCAATGAGACAATGAATACAATGCAAAGAAATATACTATAGGGTTTCTCTCTCTCCTTTTTAATTTTTTTTTAGTTTTTGATAGACCTTTTTTAAAAAAAATGTGTATTTTTTTTAATCAGCCCCATTTGCAGGAGAGAAAACCAAAGCACAGAATGCTAAATAACCCTCTACTCTGATTTCCAAGTCTTACTGGCTTTGGGTAAAAATAATAATAATGTGGCAGGTGATAATTAAAGAATTAAATGATACACTGTAAGTGAAATTCAAGGACATAATACCTTGATTTGATTTTTTTATTTATTTATTTTTATGTGGTGCTGAGGACCAAACCCAGTGCCTCACTCTTGCGGGGCAAGAGGGCTACCACTGAGCCCCAGCCCCAGCCCCTCTCTCTTTCTTCTTTACATCTAGATCTCTGGTATGTAAGAGAAATCAGAGATAAAGGGGAAAAAAATCCAAGTCCTTATCCTCTTGCAGCTTCCAGATCAGTAGGCAACACAGGCCATCACTAGACTATGACGTCCCAGAGTGCTCAGGGCAGGGATCAGGGTAGCCTGGGAGCTGGGGAGGCCGGAAGTAAGTACCTGACTTCACCAGTGAGAGAGGAGCCAGGGAAGGCTTCCTGGAGGAAGGGAACCCAAACCTGAGATCTGAACAATGAAGATGAAGAGTCAGAAGAAGACCAGGGGTAGAGTGTTCTAGGAAGACCAGAGGACTTACAAGAACAGGGCAGGGACCCAGAGTTCAGGCTCATTCTGCGATGTTCTTGGTGCCCTAAGGTTCACTGTTCTTGCTTAACTCTCATATTTGCACATTCAATGAGCAATCCCAGCACTACCCATGTAACAGGATCTGCACTGGGCAATGTCAAGGTCACGCTGGTGACTAACACGGGCCCTCATCCTTCCCTCCCAGTTCAATGAAGAAGATGACCTCATCAACAGACAGTGCTGTCACTGGTCCCCCAAAGGGACCAGATCCCTTAAAGAGGGAAACAAAGGTAGAGAGATCAGGACCATGGAGAGGCAAGCCCAGAGCCCATGGAAGTTCAAGGGAGGCACCTGACCCAGCCTGAAGGGTCAGGGAGGGCTGGCTGGAAGGGGCTGGGGAAATTCCAAACATCAGGAAGGGGTCCGCCGACATTCATCTTGGAGATGAGTTACCAGTGGAGCTGGCCCTTCCTCTTCTCCCCAGGCATCGCCTTCTCCAATGGCGAACGATGGAAGGTCCTGAGAAGGTTCTCTGTCCAGATTCTGCGGAACTTCGGGATGGGGAAGAGGAGCATTGAGGAGCGGATCCTGGAGGAAGGCGGCTTTCTGCTGGAGGAACTGCGGAAAACTGAAGGTCAGGGTCCCTGAATGCAGTCTGCACTCCCAGTTCCCATCCATCACGGGTGGGCAGGGCTGCCAGGTACCAGAGCATGGTGTGAACCCAGAGCTCCTTCACTTGGCCCACAATGAGCATGGTGTCCACTGGAGGTGGGTCTGCTTGTGGCTCTGTGTTCCTCTAGGTATGGTGGTATTCCTGAGCCCGGTTTGTATAATCCTGGTAGACGACGATGATGATGACATTCTTTTTGGGGGGAGGTGGGTACCATGGATTGAACTCAGGCCACTGAGCCACATCCCCAGCCCTTTTTTGTATTTTATGTAATTTAAAGACAGGGTCTCACTGAGTTGCTTTATGCCTCGCTTTTGCTGAGGCTGGTTTGAATGCAATCCCCCTTCCTCAGCCTCCTGAGCTGCTGGGAGTGTACCACCACACCCAGCTGATGATGACATCCTTAAGAACTCACCTACAGAGCTATATGCTAGCACATTTTCACACATGATCCCCGTAAGCTTTAGAACAATCCATTTTGCACATGAGGAAATAGAGGCACAGAGCAGTTAAGCAAATACCTTGGAGTAATCAAGCTAGTAAGCCGAGGAGTCAGGATTTAAATCTATGTCTGACACTTGAGTCCATTTTCAATAAACTATGTCATTTATTGAGTGCTTACTGGGTACCAAGCATTGTGATAACTCTTTCTGTGCTTCACCCACCAGCAACCATACAAAATCAGTGTTATTCCAAGTGAAGAAGAAGAGGCCCAGAAAGGTTAAGTCACATGCCCAGAGAGTGAGTTGGGATAGAAACCCAGGCTGAGGCCTCTGACCTATGAAACAAAGTTACAAAAAAAAAAAAAAAAAAACAGAGATCTGGAGATGCTATAGCACACTTGTCAAGCATGCCCTGGGTTCCATCCCGGCACCACAAAAAGATACATAAATAAATAAAATAACATAAATAACCAACAATTACACAATGCCCACCATATGCCAGGACTTTTGCAAGAACTTTGAATATCTCTTTGAAAAATCAGTCAAGGGGCCAAGTGCAATGTTCACAAATGTAATCCCAGTTTCTTGTGAGGGAGGCTGAGACAGGAGGATTTCAAGTTCAAGACCAGCCTGCACAATCCAGTGAGGCTCTGTCTCAAAACTTTTTAAAAGCCAAATGCAGTGTTGCACACCTGTATCCCCAGAGACTTGGGAGGCTGAGCCAAGAGAATCACAAGTTCAAGGCCAGCCTCAGCAACTTTATCAAGGACCTAAGCAATTTAGTAAGAACCTCCCTGAAAATAAAAAATACCAAAAAAAAAAAAAAAAAAAAAGGCCAGGGACTTAGCTCAGTGATAAAGTGTCCCTGGGTTCAATCCCTAGTGCCAAAACTTTTTTTAAAAAATTTAAAGGGCTGGGAATATAGTTCAGAGGTAAAATATTACGAGGGTCAATCCTCAGTACAAAAAAACAAATCAGTCAAGCTTAGGAAGCAGGTCCTGTAATCAGCCCCATTTTGCAGGAGAGAAAACTGAGGCACAGATTGCTAAATAGCCCTCTACCCTGATTTCCAAGTCGGCTTTGGGCAAAAATAATAATGTGGCAGGTGATAGTTAAGGAATTAAATGATACAATGTAAGTGAAATCACAATAGCTGCCTTATTAATTTATTATAATTATTAACACACTCATTGTACATCTTGATGGGTTCCACTGTGACATTTCTGTGCACATATATATCCTGCTTTGCTCATGTCTACCTTCTCTTCTGCCCTGTCTTGTCCTCCTCTCTCCTCCTGCTCCAGGCTAGAACTTTAGCTAAGGACATATTAATTTCTCTCTTCTTTTTTTTTGGTATCAGGGCTTGACCCAGGGGCACTTAACCACTGAGTCACATTCCCAGACCTTTTTTATATTTTATTTAGAGACAGGGTCTTGCTAAGTTGCTTAGGGACTCACTAAATTGCTGAGGCTGGCTTTGGACTCATGATCCTCCTGAGTTGCTAGAAATACTGGGTGGGCCACCCATGCCCAACTCCATATTAATTTCTTATTGCCGCTGTAACAAATTGCCACAAATGTAGTGGCTTAAAACAATATACATTCATTCTCTTATATTTCTGTAGGTCTGAAGTAGACAGTGGGTCAGCAGGGCTGCACTCCTTGAGAAGGTTTTGGATAGCATTCGTGTCCTGGCCTTTTCCAGTTTCCGCATTACTAGGACCTTCCTCTATATTCAAAGCCATAAAAGGTAGTAGCAGCTTCCAGTCTCTCTCTCATCACATAACCCTTATTTATTTAGATGCACCTACTTTCCTCTTCTAAGGAGCCTGATAATAACATTGGGCCCACCTGGGCAATCCAGAGTCATCTTCTCATCTCAAAATCCTTAATTTATGGCTGAAAAATCCTTAATTTATGGTGCAGTGGTACACACCTGTAATCCAAGTGACTTGGGTGGCTGAGTCAGGTCAGCCTCTGCAACTTAGCAAGGCTCTGTCTCAAAATTAAAAGGGCTGGGATTTGGCTCAGTAATAAACTGCCCTGGATTCAATTCCCAATACAAAAAAAAAAAAAAAAAGTATTTTTTTTTTCCAAGTAAAGTAAATTTCTATTCACAGATTCTAGGAACAGGAATGTGGACATCTTTGGGGTGGTCATTAGTCAATCCATCGTAGCACCACAGTTTGTAACAGCCTCATAATGGGCCAGACCTTAACTAAGGACTTCCCAGTCACTAACTTATAACAACCCCATGAGGGCTGTCATTGAGCCCATTGTATAGATGTGAAAATTGAGGCTCAGAAACAGGAATCAGTAGTCCAGGTCGCATAAAGACTAAGAAGCCAGTTTCAAACTAAGTCTATCTAATCCCAGCCCTGGTTTTCTGGCCTGTCCTATTGTGTCTTGGCTGCTTTGTTGAAATGTGCTGCTTGTTATAATGTTTTCTGTAGTCTGGTTGTTGGATTGTGGGGTGTTAGGTGTGATTCTTTGGGTTATTTCTGGATAAGATTGTAGTGTTATCATGCCATGATTGATATGTGGTATTGCAGTATTATCTGCTGTGCTGCCAAAGATGTTGTGTTGGTGTGCATGGTGTGTCATCTCTTCAGTTGCCTGGTTATGTGTGTTGTGATGACACATCCTGTGTTCTCTACTGTCTGCTGGGTTGCTGTGTTTTATTGTTGTGCATTGTGTCAAAGGAAGATTTAGCTGTGAGCTGGTATTATGTGTTTAAGTATATTGTTACCATGTCTTGGAATGTTTCTGAGTGGGCTATGTGTAGTTTCTAAATCGCTATGTGTAGTTGTGTGTGTTGGCATGTATTGTGGTTGTATTTACTGGGTGTTTTATGGCAGTGTCTATGTTTTCTGTGATGCCTGATGATTGCACTGTGCTGTATTGTGTGTGTGGTGTACTGTCACCGAAAATAGCCTGTTCTGTTACTGAGTATTGAAGTGGATGCGGAACTGCAGGATGTTGTGGGTTCTATGCTAGCTGTTGCGTTATGAAGTACTTGAGGTGTTAGGCTGCAAGACGGTATCATGGTTGGGTCAGATGCTATGCAAATTAGAGCTGTGTCTGCTGCACCATGGTCTGGTGCGTTTGAGTCCCCAGAGCTGGGCCCCTGACCCATTCCACCCCTCCACCTCAGGTGAGCCCTTCAACCCCCTGTTTATGCTGAGCCGCTCAGTGTCCAACATTATCTGTTCGGTGATATTCGGCAAACGTTTCGACTACGACGATGAGCGTCTGCTCACCATCATCCACGTCATCAACGACAACTTTCAAATCATGAGCAGCCCCTGGGGCGAGGTCAGCAAGACTGAGTCCTGTGGGAGACAGGATGGCAGCGGGAGCAGGAGGGGGCGTGGCCAACAGGGTCTAGGGGTACCTGGGGATGTCAGTAGGCCCTGACTGGTCATGCGTTTTCCTTCTGACCCCTGCCCGCCCCCTACCCCGAGTTACATGATTCAAGAAGACACACAGCCCCCTTCCCCTGCCCCTCCGTCCCACTCCCCTCCAGCCTCTCCAGAACTCCATTGTCCTCCAATGCCCCGTCCTTGCCTACCGAATTCACTTGCCTTACCCTACTTAGCCCCGAACACATACCCTGCCTGCTCTTCCAAGCCCCTCCAACTCTGCCCGCTCTCCAGCTGTACAACCTCTTCCCGAGCCTCCTGGACTGGGTGCCTGGGCCGCACCAACGCATCTTCCAGAACTTCGGAAACCTGAGAGATCTCATCTCCTGCAGCGTCCGCGAACACCAGGCCACCCTAGACCCCAACTCTCCCCGGGACTTCATAGATTGCTTCCTCACCAAAATAGCACAGGTAAACTCTGTCTGGAAATTGCACCTCTGGCCTGACCTGAATGCCTCCTGCTGCTCCTGTCTCAAACTCAATAGGGATCCCAGATTGGGCAGGACTGGCCCAGATTGGGCAGGACTGGGGGATTTTCTCCGGGAGAAGCTGGGGCACCTGGCTGCTCAGGGTTGTTGCCCAGAGCCACCACCAATTATCAGCTCTTGAAGTGATTGGGTTTTTTTTGTTTGTTTGTTTTTTGTTTGTTTTTGGCGGACACAACATCTTTGTTTGTATGTGGTGCTGAGGATCGAACCCGGGTCGCACGCATGCCAGGCGAGCGCGCTACCGCTTGAGCCACATCCCCAGCCCTTGAAGTGATTGTTAAAGTGCTAAAATATTATTTGTCCGCCCTGCGGCAGAGATTTTTCCCTACCCCACCATTCCACGCTCCCCAGCTTCCCTGAGGAAAGGAAGTTAAACAGAGGAGGGACCGAACTGGCACCCAGTATCAGTTGCGCAAGTCTGGGGTGAACGGTCGCACGGACTTTGAGTCCACAATATGCATCTGGTCCTGGTTCATATCCCCACCGCTCAACCCGGGTAGGAGAAAGAGAACCCGCTGAGCCACTTCCATATGGACACCCTGTTGATGACCACACAAAACCTGATCTTCGGAGGCACAGAGACGGTGGGCACCACGCTGTGCCACGCCTTCCTCGCCCTCATGAAATACCCCAAAATTCAAGGTGCGCCCGCAGCTACCTAGCCCTGAGACCTGCCCACACCGCGCCGTCGAGCCAACCGGCCCGATCCAGAGGGTCGGTCAGAGTCTAGGTGGGAAAACCAAACTCACACATAGCTCGACCCCAACCACATACCCCTTAGGGTCCACACAGCATGCCCAATCCTCCTCCAGATCCCTCCCGCATAGTCATGACCCTGCCTGCACAGCTCGCATCCAGCCCCAGAGCTCTTCCTTGAAGTCCCACCCAGAGCCACTCCCCAAGCTCCAGCCACTTGATTTGCCCAAGACCCCAAACCCTCCTACACAGACTGACCTGCCCATACAGCACCTTCCGCCGGTCCACCTCCTCAAGCCCCTCCTCTGGATGATGTGTCCCCGCCCCTGATCTCCAGCCCTTTGCCCACTGGATCCAACAATCAGTCATCCAGGTCCCTGTCACCTCTTCCGAAATCCCATCAGGGACCTGAGCTACTGAGATCCCTGAAGCCCTGACCACATAATCTCACCCTCTGGAGCCCTTGCGCCAACCAAAATTTTGCCCCCCACCTCCCCAAGATCTGGCTGATCTTTACACGCCCCTCGGCAGTGGGCGGGGCTCGCGATGGGAGGATTGGAGCCGACTCGCGACAGTTCCCAGCTTAGTCTCGCCTACCGATACCCTCAGCTATCTTCCTTCTCCACCTCCAGCCCGTGTGCAGGAGGAGATTGACCGCGTGGTGGGACGCTCCCGGCTGCCCACCCTGGAGGACCGCGCAGCCATGCCGTACACAGATGCGGTGATACACGAGGTGCAGCGTTTCGCAGATGTCATCCCGATGAACTTGCCGCACCGCGTCATTCGGGACACGGCCTTCCGCGGCTTCCTGATACCTGAGGTGTGCTGGGCACCTGGCAAAGGACCTTGGGCATCCTAGGAAGAAGCATCTCATTCTTGCAACCAGCAAGGGGTACCTTAGTCCCTGGCTGGGAACTCCCCAAGCCTTAGCAACTGGCATCACGAGCCCTAGCAACAGATATTTGAGATTATAAATCCAGAACTTCAGCCCCTTCCCAGGCCCCCCCCATCCCATATCATAGCGGACAAGACCCCTTCCTGAACCTCACACCCCTTCCCTACCACAAGACCCATCTCAAGAATCTCCCAAGTATTGCCGGGCGCGGTGGCACACGCCTGTAATCTCAGCGGTTTGGGAGGCTGAGGCAGGAGGATCGCGAGTTCAAAGCCAGCCTTAGCAGCTGCGAGGCGCTAAGCAACTCAGTGAGACCCTGTCTCTAAATATAATACAAAATAGGGCTGGGGATGTGGCTCAGTGGCCGAGTGCCCCTGAGTTCAATCCCCGGTAACCGTCCCCCAAAAAATCTCCAGAATATAGGGCTTCATCCTGAGGTTCCCCCCTGTAGCCAAATACTGCCCTCTGAGACCTCTTGCCTTCCCAGAAATCCCTCATCTGCTTTCACAAGGAGGGCGAGGGAGGGTGGGATGCTCGTTCCTTTCTCAGACCCCAGCAACACAGCCTCTAGCAGACATCACTGAAAACCCCAGATGGGGTCCTATGCCCTCTTCCACCCCTTTTTCCAGTCCCCAGGACCTCTAATTTGGAAACCTCCCAGCTCTTTTATACCACTAACTCCGCTTTCTCCTTTCCCCACACAGGGCACAGATATCATCACCCTCCTTAACACGGTGCACTATGACCCCAGCCAGTTCCTGAAACCCCAGGAATTCAATCCCGAGCATTTCCTAGATGCCAATCAGTCTTTCAAGAAGAGCCCTGCCTTCATGCCCTTTTCAGCTGGTGAGGGCCACGGTCTTTTAAACCCTAGTCCTAATTAAGCTCTCCAAAGCCTCTCACTTCTTTATCCACCCCATCCTCAGACTTGGCTGCACAGACACACTTATTCTTTCCCTTACCTCTGCTTCTGGGGCTGGGGCTATAGCTCAGTTGGTAGAGTGCTTGCCTCACATGCACAAGGCCCTGGATTCAATCCCCAGCACCAAAAACAAAAAAAACAAAAACACTCCGCGTCTATAAGCAGATAATGACTAAAAACCTTTGTTGCGGGAGGTGGGGAGATTATTAATTTAATTTGGGAGTGGTCATTTGTCAGACTTTCCACTAGGTGGCGCGGTTGAAATGGTTCCAGTTTTTCGTTACCCTGCTTGGGGCGGGGGGGGGGGGGGGCACTCCTTTACTCAGTAACAGGAAAAACGGGAGGAGGGTCATAATAGATAAATTACCACAGTGCCTACTGTGTGCCAGATGCTGCCTCTGAGAATAGTTGTAAGGGTAATGACTGAATTCTGCAGCCAGATTGCACAGGGTTTGCACCCCAGCTCCAGTCACCTCCTAGCTGTGTGACCTTGGTTATGTTATGAACTTCTGTGCCTCAATTTTCAAGTTTCCCTTTTTTTATTCTTTTGATGCTGGGTATTGAACCCAGGGCCTTGTGCATGCAAGGCAAGCACTCTACCTTGCTAAGCTATATCCCCAGCCCCTCAATTTCCACTTCTATAAAATGCAGATAATATTAAGACCCACCCCTTGGAGTTGTTGGGAGGATTAAGTTAATTAAGAATAGTATAAAGCTTGGAGAGCGCATGGTACATGGTTAGAGTTACATTAAGGGTTTTTGTTTGCTTGCTTTTGGTTTTGTTTACATTGAGCATTAAGTTCTCACTGCTATACCTATACTTACCATTCACAACAACCTCCTAAGCTACAAGTATCGTCCCCATTTCAAATACCCAGAAATTGCGGCATTCCAAGAGCACAAGACCAGCCTTAACAGAGCAGGATCTGAACCCAGGAGGCTGCACGTGCATTGGCTGACTCATTCTGTTCTGAAGTTTACTCAAGGCATTCTTTCCAAACTTTTAGCTGCATAGGTCTTTGATGTCCCCAGTCATTATCTTCATGTCCTCATGTTTTCCTCAAAAAATTTGGGGCGCAGCTCCTCACCCACTTTATCTCACTGCTCCTTCCCCACCCTTCCCAAGGGCGCCGACTGTGTCTCGGAGAATCGGAGAATCGCTGGCACGCATGGAGCTCTTCCTCTACCTCACCGCCATCCTACAGAGCTTCTCGTTGCAGCCGCTGGGGGAACCCGAGGACATCGACCTGACCCCATTGGGGTCAGGTCTGGGTAATTTGCCACGGCCTTTCCAGCTCCGCCTGCTGGAGCGCTGAGCCCTCGGCCCTTCACGATTAGCCTGTAAGCGCCAGGCCCGCACCCACGAGTTGCTCCGTTTGTTGGCATAACCACAGCCATCTTCCTTTCCCCACCCCGACTTTATGAATACTGTTCTTATTCTCTAGGAATAGAAACTTGCCGGTCTCTATTGTCTCCTTGAGAGATAAAGACTTTCTGGTCTCTGTCCTCTCCTTGAGAGATAAATACTTGCCCATCTCTGTTCCCAAGAAACAGTAACTTGCCTTCCGCAAAATCAGGTGATGCTTGCTATGCCAGTCGCAAGGGCTAAACCGGCCCCTAAGGGGCGGCCATGATTCTGATCTATAAAAGGTAATCCTCAAGAGGGAGTTGTTGCTGCTCTCTCTCTGTGCCAAGCAGCCTGTCAGGGGCCCCACAATAAATCTGCTTCTGCCTCTGTCCTTGGTGAGTGTCTGTGTGATCAGCCCTGTGCCAGTTTTCTTTCACCGTTGGTGTGTTGTTCACTCTCTGTCACCCTCTGTCTGGCTGCCACATTCTCTTCCCTGTACCCTGGGCCTGCTTACCTGCCAGTAACTCAACTTTTCTTATTTTAAACCGACCTGCACACAAAGAAAGACATTAGGGATGGGAATTGTATGTCTTGGACCCAAAGAACTTGTTCTGTGATGTGCCTTTTCTGGGCTTTTTGTATCATTTCCTAGAAAATTATCTTTATAATAGTCAAACCTATTTAAGCTGAATTAAAGTTTTTCTTGCATCACAAACTGCATTGAGCCAGATGAAGACAGTATCTAGGAGGCCCTAGATATTTCCCCAAAAGTCATTCAGAGGCGAGAGTGCTTTCCTAGTGTGTACAGGGCCCTGGTTTTAATCCCCACTACTGGAAAAAAGAAAAATCTTACAATCAGAGGTCATCCAGAAGTTGAGACAGGTTGTGCTGAACACATCATAGACCCACATGTGACATCAGCCCTTTAATCCACACAGGTGAAGCACAGAGTCTGCCCCAGGGCCCAACCAGGGACAAAAACACAGGGAAAGATGGAGAGAGTCAGCTCTCTCCCGCAGATGGAGAACCAGCAAAGAGAAACACATGGAGTTACTGAAAAGATGGAGAAAAACCCTGAAAAACAAAGACTGGGAGTGAGACAGAGAAAGTGAGAGGAAGACAAAGAGAGGCACTGAGCAGAAAGAGAGTCAGATACCCAGGGAGAGGGAGGACAAGAAATTCTAAAACAGAAATTAAGAGAGGGCGTGTTCATTCAACACATTTCCTGGGCACCTAGTATGTTCTGAGCACTATTTTAGGGCACAGAAGTGAACAAGACGGAATCCCTCTCTTAAAGAGCTGGGATTCCAGGGGCAACCCTACAGAATTGGAAGAAAATCAAGAGGGTAGAGAAAAGGCTCTGACCCTAACACAGAGCACCCATCATGGACTTTACTGCATGCAGATGCACCCCAGCCCTTAATGGAGTTAGCACCTCTGAGAAGGGGTCCTGCCCCTCAGCCCCTGCCAGGTAGGAAGACCCTGCAGAGGTAGAGACAGAGAGCTACAGAGAGAGACATAGACAAACACTGGAAAGAGAGAGATCTCACAGACATAGAGACGAGACGAGCAGGGACAGAGAGGGAGACAGAGGCAGAAAGAGTGAAAGATGAACAGGGGAACAGACAGACTGAGGGAGATACTGAGAAATGAAACAAAAATAGAGATGCTGAGAGACAATCCCAGAAAAAACTCCAGGCTCAGCCTCTGCAGACTTCCCCCATTTAACTCCACCCAGGTCTGGGCCCTGAGCCAGGCAGGAAGGCTGGATCTGGCAAGACCAGGAGGGGTGGGAAGGTGGGCCATATTCTGGAACAGCCTGTCCCAAGTCCTAATTCAACCCCCACTCCCACCCCTGACTCCCTGACTCGTCAGGCTGGAGTCAGACCCCTCCAGCCTGTGCCGCCCAAGCAAAGGGGAAGATGTAGGTTCAGTTTGCCTGCTGTCATGGCCTGACCTCAAACAGTGATGTCTACTGAGGGATTTGGGGGACTGGACACCAAGGAGCACAGCAGCAGTGTCACAGGACATTTGAGAATCACGATGACAGGAATTCTGAGCAGGACATAGGTAGGGGTACCAAGGGGTCGACATATGAAAAGGCACCCAGAAGTCACAATGATAGGCACAGAAGTTCCAGGCTGATGGGCACCATGAGGTTGGAGGAGTCAAATGCAAAGGAGACCAGTGCAACATACTGGGTTCCAAGAGCTATTGAAGTGACAAAGGCTCAAGAGTAAGTCCTTGAAAATCACAGGCACAAGGTAAAGGAGTGTCAGGTCAATGGACACATGGCCAAGAATGGTTTTAGAGACATATTCTGGATTCAAGAGTGTATTTAGCCACAAGAGGTACCGTGTACAGCATTTGGGACACTGGTCCAGACGTGGTCAGGGGATTGAGGAGTACACATCTACAGGCCAAGTAAGATGGACCCAAAGGTGACAGGGGCTCAAGAGGGTGCACTTGGTCAGTTGTTTTGAATGAGAATGGCAAACTGACATTAAATGGGGAAGCGGGGGTGTGGCTCAGTTGTGCAAGTGCTTGCCTCCTATACAGGAGGCCACGGGTTCAATCCCCAGCACCACATTAAAAAAAAAAAAAAAAAGTCAAAGAGACACACATCAGCAGGAGCCAGGACACAGAAGAGCTAGTGCTAGGGCTGGGGGTGGGAGTGGAGTGGAGACTGGGGATTGGAAAATCTTTAGAAAGAGCAGCTGCTGAGAGACAATCCCAGAAAAAACTCCAGGGCTCATCCTCTGCAGGCTTGCCCATTTTACTCCACCCAGGTCTGGGCCCTATGCCAGGAAGGAAGGCTGGATCTGGCAAGACCAGGAGGGGTGGGAAGGTGGGCCACATTCTGGAACAGCCTGTCCCAAGTCCTAATTCAGTTTTTTCCGGGATTGTCTCTCAGCAGACACTTGCCCCTCCCACCGCCAATCAACCTAATAGCGAGTCAACCTAATAGCAGCGAAGGATCTCAGGCAGGTGCAGGCGGCAAAGGTCTCAGGCATGCTGATCACTGGAGTCGCAACGTTGCTATTATCACTCCTGGTGCTGGCGCTGGCCTGGTGGGGTTGGGGCATCCGCAGAGTTCAAATAGGGAGGGGCTTACCCCCCGGGCCCAGGCCGCTTGGATTGCTGGGGAACTTGCTGCAGCTGGAGTCCGGAGGCCTGGACCGTGCGCTCATGAAGGTAGCCCGACGGCGGGTGGTGAAACAGAATTCTGGATTCTTGGAGGTGGGATTGAGGGTTACAACTCCTGGTCGGCTGAATGAAGACAGCTGAAGGGATGGGGACCTGGACTCTTGGATCCGAGGGAGGAGGAAGTTGTGGAGCTAGGGAGCTGAACTCCTCGACCCGCGGAAAGAGGGGCTGAAATGGGGACTTCTGGGTCTGAGGGAGAGAGATGGGGTCTTGGTGGAGGGGGAGGATCAGGAGCCTGGAGCACGTCTCGCTGAGCACTGATTCCCCGCAGCTCTCCCGCAGCTGGGGTCCAGTGTTCACTGTGTGGCTGGGCCCGCGCCCTGCCGTGGTGCTATGTGGCTATGAAGCGCTGCGGGATGCGTTGGTGCTACAGGCGGATACCTTCTCTGGCCGCGGAGCCATGCCGGTCTTCCAACGCTTCACACGCGGAAACGGTGAGGCCCACGGGGTAGAAGACCTGGACCAGCCAGTTTGGGTGGATAAAGGGTGCAACCGGGCAACTGGGGCGGGGGCCAATAGAGAACGATGGTAACCAAACAGTGCAGACAGGGTGGGGCACACGCAGGGGCCCGATCTAGGTTCCTCATGCCAATGGGAGAGAAGAGGCAACGAGTCAAAATTTAAAAGAGCAAATCCAGATCAAGGATCCAGGTGGGATCAATATGTAAATAGGGCCCATAAGGTTGACAACTGAGTGGTCTGATACAGAATCAAAGCAAGACCTGG